AGGCCCTCACTCCTTTCGGTGATGTTGTCCTTCTCGGGGCCTCTTTCCACCACGCGCACTGAAGTTCGGATCTGTAAAAGAACTTTCTTAAAACGGTTATTTCATTAATATTTATAAAACCTATACGGATCCGCTCGATAAAGTGGTTGCTATTAAACTTACTATTATTATTAAACATATAATACAGGTATAAACATGATTCTAATCTAAACAGCCTTTTGGTACTCTCAACTCGACGAAATCGTCGAGGAGTCATCATCAAATTCTTTTAGGTAGTGAAAACCTAACTCGTAGGCCAGTTGCCATTGTCCCGCATCCCCCAAAATCCGAAGTTGTCGTTTATTAAGTCCAGAACGCTGCAGGAGAAATCCAAACATGTATCGCTCCTCTTGTGTTCTCTGGGGCAACACTGGACATTCGGACTCACGGCGTCTTGTGTTTCGAACCTCAGTTGGGCGTTGAGGTTCCCAATCGCTGGACAATTTTGGTTCCATCAGGGCACGCAGTCTTGGCAACTGATGAAGGAGGTTACTTACGGGGTGATCCACCATTGGGTTCAGCATAATTCGTAAAACCACTGTATTCTTTCGCCCATAAATCTCGAGACAACTGTCTATGCTGTGGATGGTCATTGGAACAGTTCCAGGGTTCCGCAGGTGACGGTGAGGCCATGGTCGTATTCGCTGGAGTGGTGTTAATCCCAGTGCACATGCTCTGGGGTTCCAGGCACAATACGAAACTCCAATGATGGCCAGCATAAGCTGTTCTGCACTGGTATGTTCTGGCCGTCCGTCATGCCATGCATGGGCCTTTTGTTCGATCAGTCCTGCAACAAGCGCTGGAATTGGAATAGGCCAGTGGACGTTAATCGTCACCATGTCGATGTCAGTGACATGTCCTCTACTCCATGAGGCTTGTCTGAACAAAAAGCTTGCTTCTTCTTGGTTTAAGAGGTCGGATCCAAGTTCCACAACCAAACGTCCCAACCACACAGCCAGAGTTTCCTCAGATTGAATTCTGGATTCTCTACACAAATCTTGCAGCTCAGCTCTGGAGCGAGCGCAATAGGTGGTAGCACGAACTATGTTCTGTGGCTTGATGACTAGGCTGGTTGATGCTATAGGCTGATCAGTTTCTCTATAAGTCGTTGCTGTTGTTATTGTAGGGGTCGTCGTTGTTGTTACAGACAGGAGGGGCGGATGCACTCCTCCGCTTGACTTTTCCTTTCGTCGGCAAGAGGGCATGGTCGGCAGAGACGTCGCTGGGCGGGGTTCCCAGAGACGACGCTGCGTCGATGAGTGGAGTCGCCGACCGAACTCTCGCGGGTTCCTTTGACGCTCCACCCTTCTCTTCCGGCTTCTCCACACGGTCTCCCTCTTGCTCGGCGCCATCTTGGGCTGGCGTTCCAAGATCCCCTCTCTCAGCCGCTTCTCCGACAGCTTGAATGGCCACACGCAGCTGGGCTCTCAAACTTAATTTTTTATTCATTAAATCACTCAATTCTCCCCCCCTTGTCATACCGTAGGGCCACCCTCTCATCCGCGGTGTGTCTCTCTGTTCTCGGATCTTCGCGGAGCTTGCACCCCCTTAATCTAGACATCACCGCGCCAGGGGAGAACCAGTTAACTGGCAACAGCTCGTCACTCTCCCAAACACATCGCCGGCAATGAGCACACTCCCGGGTGAAAGCTGGGCTCGGTTCGCCCGCTGGGTTGGGTCCGGCGAGGGACACAGTATCGAGGGGCCTGAACAGGACCCGCTCGTCGCCTATAATACACCCGAATGCCGCGGGGAGCAAACACACTTCTTTCTCCCTCGGGGCTCCGTCCTTGGAGGCTCCCTCTTCTCCCTTCAGCGAAAAACGTCCGCTGATATATTTCTCACCCGTTCCGCCCGCCTGGTGGTAAGCGATATGCGCTTCCAGCTCTTCAAAACTTTTCAC